GGAAAGGTAGCAGCTAGGTAAGCTTGTTTTGTTAGCTTAATTTCTTGCAAATGTCTTCCTCCATTCCATTTGACTGATTGCTTGTATTTGCTTCTAACTTCCTCAAGACAAGTTCACAATGTACAAATTGATTTCATACTTTCATGCCCGAATTGAAGTTTTCTCATAAAATACCATTCAATTCACGAGGAAAACATTCTAAATTAGCTATATACGGAGTATGTAACTTATGTGTATCAGTATGTTTTTAGTCATGAAATTCCACTTAATTACTTGCAAATCATGTCCTATGTTTAATATTACTCTCCTCCCTCTAAATTTGATATGATATCTGAGGAGGAGCTAAAAGCGAACCATTATCAAAGTGATTTTTTGATTCTTCCTTAGTTACGATTGATGAATCGAGAAAAAATAAAAATAAGAATGAGAATAATATAGAATCATACGATCGGATCTATCACAATTAAAAAAGGAATGGTAAAGTATATGTATAACAATGATATAAGCAATGGGAGTATTTGCGAAGGGTTTAGGGAATGATATAATTTCATCAATTTTACTCCTACACGTACCTTCTCGATCAGGCTCATGACTTACTCATTTGAAATAAGTTTCATAAGATTTACTCAATACAATTTATCATTCCCTAAATTTGAGTGACCATTTTAATGTACACTATTACATATCATTATCCTATAAAGTAATACTGGACAAGAAAAATATAGCGCATGGTTATATATGGCGGCTGCCCTAGTCAGTGGTGAGGTCGAAGTTGCCACGTGTGTGATCAATTTTGGGAAGCAAAAGATACGTGGCAATTAGTCATTAGTCAGCGATTTTGTGTATGGACCTTTCTATGAAGTCAGTAAAATCAAACATTTCCTTAATAGGCTAGCCTGGTCGGTATGGTAGTTAGACTGTTCATACAGCTTATAAGGAAAGCTACATGGAAAACTACCTTTGTTACTTTCATCTCTTGCAATGTCTGATCTGTCACCGTATCCTTGGTCGATCCCTTACTTAATTTGCTTCTAGGACAATAAGCTCTTTGAAAATGGAGTAATTGGTTTCGTATCTTCTTGCCACGCACAATTTTCTTCTGTTACCATAAAATTAATTAGCACGTTTGAATTTGAATCCACATTTTTCACGACACTACTCTCATACGAAGTATGAAGGAGTTTGGCTTCACGTATACGCCAGGTTACGGGGCGAAGTGTAGTTGTCTACGCACAAATAATTACGTTTGAGTTTAGTAAATGGATGAAGTGTCTATGATTCTGAATTGTTTGTGCATTGTTTTTTGAAGTCACAAACACTTATCTTTACCAAACTTCAAGCGTAATTATTGTCCGCGCACAAATAATTACACTTTGGTTTACTATTTGGACGGGAATGTCTATGATTCTAAATTGTTTGTACATCATTTTTTGAAGTCACAAACACTTGCCTTTATTGAACTTCAAATGTAATTATTGTCTGTGATTACTACGTATTACATTATACTACCTCCGTCCCCCTAAGTTTGGGATAAGAGAAGGTGACACGTTTATTAATAAAAGTGAGTTTATGTGGTTGATATTGAATTGATAAAGTAAGAATAAAGTAAGAATTATTTAGAACCATACAAATTTTACCAAATAAGGTATGAGACAATCTTAGTGGGACGGACCGAAAAGGTAAAATGAGACAATTACAGCGAGACGGATGGAGTAATTGACACACACAGTGATTGACTTATTTGTGCATGTGACAATAATAATTGACTAGCTAGCCGATAATTTTGGTATAATGATAATAATGGTAGTGATAAATATATTACGTAGTATACCAAGAAGAAGAATAGTAGTTATTGTAATTTTTCAAAATTTATACCGGACAATTATATATGGGCAATGGGAGGATTTGTAAAGGGTTGAGGGAATGATGTAATTTTTCAAAATATACTCCTACACCTTCTTATGCAAGCTCCCTTATTCATTTGGAATCATGTTTATGATTTACAATAATTGGAATGGGCATCAATATCATTATCCAAACGTGATTGAATGTTCGTGGCCGGGAAACAAAGGATAGGCGACTGCCCTAGCCAGGGGTTTTGTGTATTGACCTTTGCAGGTTGCATAAAATCAATTAAATCAAATATTACGTACCTTAATTACGGAAAGCCAGTTAGAAAACTAGCCAGTGGTTTTGGGCTGGCCTTAGTCGATATGGTACTACGGAGTATTCATAGGGCTTAAAAGTGTCACCTTAGCATGGTAGACCTTTAAAAAATGGAGGATTCTATATACGAATACCTTTAAAATGTTATTACTTGTACTGTAATTTGTTGGTCAGGTCAGGTCTGGTCTAATCTGGTCTGATCTGATTTGTTTGTATTTTTATAATTATCCAAGTCTAGTCTAATCTCGTCTGGTCTGATCTGGTCTGGTCTGAGACAAATTTGTCTATACATTTGAATCATCCATCCATACAAATTTTATTCGGTTTCCGTAAATAAAATAAAATTAACACGTTTGAATTTGAACTCTACGTAGTTGTACGAGACCAAACATATTTTTCGCACTACTCTAATACGAAGTAAGGAGGAGTATTCAATTCAATCAAGATGGATTACATTACTTAATGGGAAAAGGTGCAAATAAGCCCATGTACTAACAAAAAAGGTCAAATAAGCCTTTATTTAGGAGAGTCTTTCGAGCCGTTGTCATTTGGGGTGATTCCCGGTGGAATTTTTTGATGAAATTGTTTGAGCATCTTATTCATTGATTCTAGTTTACTCATACCAAATTTCAGCAAAAACTTCAATCGGGAAGGCATTCAAATGAATTCTTGAAAATAATTGCGCAGTTAGAAGCGCAATTATCTTCAAGAATTCATATGAATGGCTTCCCGGTTGAAGTTTTAGGTGAAATTTGGTATGAGTAAACTAGACTTGATGAATAAGATGCTCAAAAAATTTCATCAACAAATTCCACCGGGAACCACCCTAAATGGCAGCGGCCGGACAAAACCTCCTAAATATGAGCTTATTTGACCTTTTTTGGTTAGTACGTGGGCCTATTTGCACCTTTTCCCTTACTTAATTAAGTATTATAGACAATGATTGTGCCTGGGACATGTCGCATTATATTATTGCATTTCCATCAGGCTATCACCTCAATTGCACGCAGTAGTGAAAGTAGTGAAATTAAAGTGTGGAATCAATAAATATACGGAGTATTAAATCTTGACATTCACAAGTACTCCGTATAATATTATTTCCTTTTCGAATATGTGTCTCATTTCATCCATTAACTATTTAACAGATTTAGGATGTTTTCTTTTGGATTGTTTTCGGTCCCAGACCAGACCAGATCAGATCAGACTAGACTTAAACAGACCAGACCAGACCAGACTTAAACAGACCAGACCAGACCAGAGTTGGATAGTTATAAAATACACAGAGACCAGATGTTTACCAGACTAGACCAGACCAGACTTAAACAGACCAGACCAGATCAGACTAGACCAGACCAGACCAGCAAATTTCAGTCCAAAAGAAAACATCCTTAAAGTTAATTCTCAATCTATTTAAATTTAGTGATTTTCAAAAATATTATCAAAATAAAGCTTATTTACTAGTCCGTATAAGGATGTTTTCTTTTGGACTGTTTTCAGTCCCAAACCAGATCAGACCAGACTTAAACAGACCAGACCAGACTTAAACAGACCAGACCAGACCAGACTTAAACAGACCAGACTAGACCAGACCAGACCAGACCAGACTTCCGTAGTTATAAAATACACAGAGACCAAACGTTTACCAGACCAGACCAGGCCAGACCAGTTCAGACCAGACCAGACCAGACTTAAACAGACCAGACCGGACCAGACTTAAACAGACCAGACCAGACCAGCAAATTTCAGTCCAAAAGAAAACATCCTAAGTATAAAACTTGTAAATAAGTTTACTGATTAAGTTAGTACTATACTCACAAATCACACTTTTGTAAAAAAAATCACCATTTTAATCATAAATATGTAATTAGCAACCTTTTAGTTGAGTTCACTATTCATTACATGTTTCCACATTTGTTCTTTCTTTTCAAGGTTTTTTTAGGTGTAGAAGTTAGCTGCTTGCAACCATTAATGTTTAGGTATCATTCTATTTATATTTATATATCCTTTTATTTACTTTGAATGAAGTATAGTTAAATCAATATATATATATTAATATGAGCGTTAGAGGTTAAGTTTTGAAGCCAAAACTCGGAATGAATGTCTACACCCACTAATTTTTTATATTTGTCGTAAGTCAATAATATATTATTACTTATTCTTCTTAAACTTGATCATCCATACATGTCAAATATGTAACATAAGATCAGAGAGCATAATTTATATACTGACATGAAATAGCTATTGTTGAAATATCAATTGGACACTAGCTAGAAAGGTAATACATGTTCTACTCTCCTTGGAAGTTTATATGTTTTGCATATACGGATAGGTATTTGAATTTATCATACCACATATATACCCTGTCATTTCTGATCCTAGTCATTTCAGTTCTGATCAATATACTCGTATACCTCACTTCTTACTCGCAATTCCCTTTACCCCATATTAGAACTTGGCGAAAAACTGCTACGGTTCCACACACACAATTCACCCCACTCTTGTGTTGCTAACTGTTTCATCAGTCTTCACAGTATATATTGTCATGCATCTCCTCCTACACGGGTTTTCATCTAGGTTTTTTTTCTTCTTTCATGCATGTCACATCCATATCCTCTAGGAATCTCGATCATTGATGCACTTGTAAGGTATGCTATTTATAAACACAACTTTTATTAGAACATTGGTTTGGTCCTTCTTTGATATGCATCTCCTTCATTTTTTCTTTCTAAATATCTTCTCCTTCGGCCCTTTCTTTATGCGTATTACTTAAGTTCTGTTGTAAACAATATATTTTTCAACTTAACGATAAAAGGAAAAGAAAAACAACAACATATGAACTGATGAACAAGAAATCCAATGAATTGAAGCACACGACATACTAAAGTATAGTGTATATACATCATACTAAAGTATAGACGTAGAGTGTATATACATTGAGTGCCCACAAGCATAGAACATTTAGAGCAAGCCCTCAAAATCAAATCTAGATGGACTTTCAAAGAATCCCATCATATTAGTGCAATGGTGGCTTTGATTCTCCTCCTCCGCACAACAGCTGTCGTTAACAAATGTAGTCATCATTGCAGTCGACGAAGGCGTGGAAAGAATCGAAGAATAATCAAACCCAGAACTTCGATTACTATTCTGAGTAAACATTTCAGTTAAGGGCTCATCATTCCCAAGACCTACTCCGAAGGAACCATAGCAGTCCAAACTAGTAAAGAAATCATTATTGCTTTCATCATTTGAAGGAGTCAAATTTTCTGGCACTACCATCATATTCTGATTGTCGATTGTTAAAGTGTTATCCTGTGGTTGTGATGTCATGTGTTCAAGTGTGGAGAGTGGCTTTCCTAGATCCTCCCCTTGCGGATATGCCAATGTGCATTGGGCATCACTTTTCAACTTATTCTGGAAGCCAATATTATTCAACTCGGTGGTGTTTGTGGTAACGGCGTTCATCGGCTGCATTTTATTTGACAACGTCGGGCCAGTCGAGGTCGTCGGGTTGTTCATGAGGGCAGCCTGATTTTCTTGCCACAATTTCTGAAACAATAATTGATCATTTGTGAACTGGCGGCTCTCTAGAAGCTTTTGGGATAAATTGTGTGGATTATATTCCTTCTTTGCAGCCGTGAGATTGGTTAGAAGACGCAACATCTCCGGGTTTATCAAGGCTTGTAAATGAAGTGCGTTGGAGAGATTAAGGTTTAAGAGAGACGAGGAAAGGTCGAAAAGATCAAGGCGGGGAGTATGAGTGACGGGGTCTATGCCGCTCTTGAGAAGCCTCTTTCTTATGTGAGTATTCCAATAATTCTTGACTTCATTGTCTGTTCTCCCTGGCAATTTAGCTGCTATGGCCGACCACCTTAAAGTAAAAGATTGAATCACAATATATTAGCCTCAATTTTGTAAAATTGGAAGAATGTATAAATACACAGTTTAACTATATGCTACATATATGTTCTGTAGCATATAGTACTGTTCTGTCTCGTCAAGATTGTCTCATGTTTCATTTTCAGTCCATCTTACTAAAATGGTTTTATACCAAATTCGAAAGTTTGTGTAAAGATTTTAAATCATTTTTAGTTGATTCTTAATCTAGCAATTCAATATCAACCACATACAATTCTATAGCCACCTTGTCATGCATGTCCCAATATTAGTGGACGGGGTAGCTAGTAGTAAATAAACCTACCAATTTTCACTCAAAAATTTAAAGGAGAAAATATATGTTACACTTAATTTTCACTCAAGGACTTAACATAAGGAACTAATATAGTCGAATGGTTTGTGTTACACATAAGGAGGGACAGGGCTAGAATTTCTATAAGGGTCAGAGGCGAACCTTAATATGAACCTAGGGACCCCCCCCCCCCCCCCCCCTCCCCGTAAAAAAAAATATTTTTTCTTTACATATGAGAACAATAACGTAGCCCCCACCCACCCAAAAAAAATATCCCCCAAATATAAGTAAATGTAAAATTTGTTTTCTCAAATTTTAATTAAATATTTTCTAATGGTAAAAATGAAAGAAATAAAAAATAGAAAAAAAAAAAATTAAAAGTAATCCTTATATGAATCTATTTACTATGAATGATAGTGTATTCTTTAAAAAAAATGAAAATTTGAAGGCAAGTCCTTTCTTAAAAATAATAATTCAAAGTGACATGTACTATAATACTATATACTCCGTACTATATATGAAATTAAAATAAAATGATTCAATTCTCATAATTAAGCTTTTGACCCGAAAGTTTTAATACTATCTATATTGATGAATTTATCTTTTTTTTGGAAGAATATTGATGAATTTATCTATTTAGAGGATACCGAACACAATTATATGTACTGTTTTAAACGATGAGCATTAAGTTACTAACTCTACCCGGCCTGAATTAAATCTTATTCTAGGATATATAATACTTTAATGGGTTTCAGAACTACATATACACTATTCTAACATAATTCAAAGAAGTAGTAACGATTAAAGTAATTAATTTAATTAGCCTTACTTGTTTCCAAGAACACTATGGAGTTGGATAATACTCTCTTCTTCTTCGAAAGAAAACTTGCCTCTCTTAATATCGGGTCTCAAATAATTAGTCCATCGAAGACGACAACTCTTTCCACATCTTTGAAGCCCTACATATATACCAGTATTTAAATGAATGTGATATATGAGGAAATTAATTAAGCTTATAATTACTTTTGAATCTACATGAAAAGTGATTTAATTAATAAACGTACCAGCATTTTTAGGAAGGGTTCGCCAGCTGCCAGGTCCATGAGCTTCAATATATTGGATGAGTTTGAGATCTTCTTCAGGAGTCCAAGGACCCTTCTTCAGTACTTCATTTTTATCACAACATGGAGATCTTCCCATTGTTTCAATTCTTCTTGCGTTCTAGAACGAATATGATCGATAATATGAGAGGAAGACAAAATGAACTTTGGGAAATTTGAAGTGAAGGTCCAAATTTATAGACGAGAAGCTAATCATGTAAATGGATCTAAGTCAATAGTATTTGGTGCCGGCCATTTGCCATGTCAACCTCTCTTTGCGTCCACAATATATTTTGGGTAATATTTTACTTGTTCTATCCCACTTCACATTTTGCATCGAAAGCTAGTTGGCTAATGTAGGATTGTCTAATTAAAGGTTAAGTTTTATCATCAAAAAATAAATTGATTGATGATAGATTTAAGCACTACTCTTTAATGTATACGATTTAAATTAGTACGAGTAGTACTTATACTACTTCAATAATAAAAACAATAAAAAAATTCTATTGAATTGAAGCGTATAGGAAAGTAAATGAAGTACGAGTGTCATTGTATTCTTTCTAAAACAAGAATACATATAGGAATAATATATATTTAGCTCTATTTTTAACTTTATCATATTTATTCTTATTTTAAGCGATTATTTATGTCAATTTCCTCTTTCTTTTGTTTTATACGTAGTACTTTGACTTTAATTTTGCGGTGATCAAATTTTTATTTTGACTATTCTTTTGGTAATTAAAGAAATTATTGTAGGTATGAGCAGCCTTGTTTGGTATTTAACCACGACTTATTTGGCCCAAAAATATATACTTCAACTAGTTAGTATTCTTCTTTTAGAAGTGAAAACACATCTGTAAGCATCAAAACACTTGAACAAGTACAAAACGAATTGGAATCAGTAATCTAAATGGATGGTAAATTGAAAATAGTATTTTTTTTTGAAAGAACATAGTATTATATATTATGGGATTTTTTTAAAATATTACTAAAATAAAACTTATTTACACAAATATGACGAATAGTTACTACAATGTAGTGTCATGTTAACTTAGGATGTTTTCTTTTGGACTGAAATTTGCTGGTCTGGTCTGATCTGGTCTGTTTAAGTCTGGTCTGGTCTGGTAAACGTCTGGTCTCTGTGTATTTTATAAGTACGGAAGTCTGGTCTGGCCTAGTCTGGTCTAGTCTGGTCTGTTTAAGTCTGGTCTGGTCTGGGACTGAAAACAGTCCAAAAGAAAACATCCTTAAATTTAAAAATTAGTTACTTTGATTTCATTACTATTCTAGTCAATAGTCACATTTTTGTAAACAATATTCATTTTAGTAAGAGATGCTTTCATATTAGATACTACTAATATAAAGCTGTAATACACAGAACAAGAAAAATAGAATGGTGCATGCGGCTGCCTTAAATAGTTAAATTAGCCCGTCCGGCCGTCCGTGAGGTCAAACTTGACCAAACGGGGATCGAAACAAAGGACAGGTGGCAATTAGGTCATTAAGATCAAATATTAATTACATTGTCAATATGTTAGTTAAATTATGGTACCTTTGATTGGACCACATCACTTTATCAATTTTAATTTAGATTTAAATAATTCAACCGCTACCTTTTCATTGGTCCATATGGACAAAAGTATGGTATCTTATGGGTACCATAGAAACTACCTTAAATTATTCCAATGTTAAGATCAAACATTTTATAAGGAAAGGAAGAAAGGAATAATTAAGCTTGCTTTAATTTGTCAGCTTACTTTGTTGCAAATTTGCAATGCTGCGTCCATTCCATTTGGTTGATTGCTTCTAACTTCCTCACGACAAAAACTCGGGTTTAGAAATCACAACATACAAATTGATTTCATATTTCATGCCAGAATTGAAGTTTTTTTTTAATTGAAGTTTTCTCATATAATACCATTTACGAGAAAAACATGCTGATTCTTATGTACATTGCTGAATTAACCATGTAACTTATGTACATCACCATATGAGCATTTGTAGTCGTGAAATTTCACTTACTTGCGGCTTGCCCATCATGTCCTATAATCAATATATATAATATTACTTCCATCACTCAAAGTTTGGTATGGTGGTACAATTATATATTAAGAAATGGGAACTTACTAGTATTTCGTAATTGATTTGAACCACGCAAAGATTATTAAATTCGGTATAAGAAAATAAAAGTTGTGCATTAACAAATACAATACAAAATTAGATTTGTTACAACTAAAAAAGAACCAAAAAGTATAACAATGATATGAGAAATGGGAGGGTTTAGGAAATGATAAAATGTTATCAATTTGACTCCTACACCGTCTCGATCAACCTCACTTATTCATTTGAAATTAGTTTTATTCCCCCGTCCCGAAAAGATTCGTCAAATTGTGTTTTCTTGGTCAATGACAATCAATTCTTTTCAATAGTATCTTTTAATACTACGTATGAAATTATTTGAAATATATCAAAATGCTTCTTATTCAAAATCTTTTCATATAAAAATAAAATTTATACATTAAATAAAAATATAATAATTAAAACCGTTTTTAATTCGAAGTTTATCATTATTGACAAATTTTTGGGGCAAGATGCAAGATACGTTGTACTTGGTATATACATATAATTATCCTATAAAGTAATACTAGTACTTAAGCAAGAAAAATATATAGCGCATTGGTATTGGCCTACGGCGGCTGCCCTAGCTAGTCAGTGCTGAGGTTGAACGTGCCACGTGCGTATCCAATTTGGGAAACAAAAGATACGTGGCAATTAGTCATTAGTTAACGGTTTTGTGTATTGACCTTCGCATGAAGTCAGGAAAGTCAAGCATTATATTACCCTGATGGCTTGGCCTGGTCGGTATGGTAGTTAGACTATTCATAGAGCTTACAAGGAAAGCTATGGAAAAACTAGCTTTTTTAGTTGCATTTTTGCATTGTCTGTCACCTTAGCCTTGGTTGCTTATTTAATTTGCTTCTACTCCTAAGACAAATAGACAACGGCCCTTAAAACATAACTTAGATTCTATGAATTATAAAGTATCGTACCTTTGTTTATATGGATTACAGAGTTATATAAATGAAAAATAAAAAGTATACTTCATATAATGTATTGGATCAATCAAATTAATGATAGATACGCTACTCAATTTCTTAAATTGTTAAGTTATTATAGCTCTCACTAAAAAATATTTCTTCCATGCAGTTAAGATTGTCCTATTTTACCTTTGCAGGAAATCTCACTAAAATGTTAATACCAAATTTAATTTGGTAAATTTTGTGTGATTCTGAAGTATTCTTATTTTATTCTTACTTTATCAATTAAATAACAATCATAACCTCATTTTTCACATGTTAGTGGTAAGGAGAATTGGTTTCATATATTATTGCCACGCACTGGTTTCTTCTTGAAAAATCCTAGGGGTACACGATTTGTGTACACCCTTGGCACCCCATTTATATACCTCCCCTTTTTTTACCTCACTTCCTCTTCTTCCCAACTCAAATTTTTACCATATTTTCTTTTGTCTTCCATCCATCCCAATTCCCGCCCCATACTCCCGCACCCACTCCACGATTCGGACCGGCAGCGACACCATCTACGCCGAACCCATCCAGCGACGCCGGACGACAACCGAAGCATCCATCTACGCCGGACTGCTCTGCTCTGGAGAAACGAAGGTCGTACCTCCAGGCGCTACTCCTCGTTCCTCGCGACGCCAACCGAAGCATCCATCCAACCGAGGTCAGGGTGCTTACCCATCCGCCTGGTGCTCTGCTCCAACTCTACGAGGCGCTTACCCATCCTCCTGACTGCTCTGCTCCAACTCTCTACGAGGCGCTGGTCCAAGTTCATCTAAGAGTTGTCTGATATGTTGTTAGTGTGTTTTGAGATGTCTATGACATGTTCTGAATTGTCTGTCATTCATATTCATGTGTCTGTCTTTTTTTTTTGTAGTTGTCTGTCAAGTGCTTAGAATTGTCTGTCTCGTGTTTTCAGTTGTCTGTCATTTGTTTTGAGTTGTCTGTAACAACTTTATAATTGTCTGTCATGTTTTCATTTGTTTGTTGTTCATATATCCTTGTCTGTCTTGTGTTGTGAGCTGTCTGTGAAGAATTTTTAAATGTTTGTGCTGTGATACATAGATGTCTGTCATTCTTATTGAGTTGTCTGTCTCATTTTGTGTGCATATAATTGTTGTCTGTCTGTATGTCCTTTACCATTAAATGTAGGTGGCAAATGTAGTCGCATGTGATATGAATGCTTCTATACCTTCTCATGAGGTTCATGAATCTGTAGCAGAAATTGAGAATCATGTGGAAGTAAGTTTTATTGTGTTTCCAACAATAGAACATGTTTCCCCTTTCAATGCTTTTCTGAATGTCTGCCTTTCTTTTTTTTCTGTCTGATATATTATTTGTCTGTCTGTATGTCCTTTATAATTAAATGTAGGTGGAAAATGCAAATGCAGCTCATATGAATGCTTCTGTACCTTCTGATGAGGTTCATGCTTCTCTAGCTGAAATTGAGAAGCATGTGGAAGTAAGTTTTATTGTGAATGTCTGTCTTTCCTTTATTTTTGTCTGTCTGATATATTATTTGTCTGTCTGTATGTCCTTTACAATTAAATGTAGGAGGAAAATGCAAATGCATCTGATTTTTCCCGTGTTTTGATCTTTTTAGTAGCCTTACAGTGCCTTACAATAAAACCATCTGTGTGCATACGGTGACTTTGATCAGCCCATACGTTGTGGTATGCACCTTTTTTCCCCCGTGTTTTGATCTTTTTAGTAGCCTTACATTTTTTTATGTTATGTTTGTAGCATAAAATCCTTAAGAAAGAGATAGGCAACGACACACATTGGCATGGAGATAAATATCTGAAAAAGCTGGACTGGAAAAGTTTTTTAGGGTATTGTCTGTCTAAGTTTTGTAAACGTCTGTCTGTTATTATTTCGCTAGTATTTTGTCTGTCTCGATAGAACACCTAGCATTTTTGATGAATTGTTAATTCTTGGCAGGTTTTGTTTCCTTTAAATATTGAAAACAAGCATTGAATCTTGGTGGAAGTTGTGATTCGGAGCAGACTGGTTAGAGTTTACGACTCGCTTAAGACTTCTAGGACTCCATTTTATGCTAAGGACTTGTGTGAGC